TTATTCTGATATTATTTACAAAAGCTTTAATGAAATGCGAATATAATTCAAGGTTCACAACAATTTTGTTTCCATTTCATGACGGAAGATCGGAGTTTGCTACACGCGGTTAATTTCTGAATTTCTTGAATATGCAGACGCGTGGGCATCTCAAGGTGAAGCCGCGCGGTTTTGAGCGCGATTATATCACGTTTCATTCAATTGCAAAACGCGCGATTATAGCGAGCGCACTGTGATTATCTATTAAAATGGCAGTATCTCGCTGTATCGACCGATTACGTAGTCTCTCGGTGACACAATCGCATTAATGTACAGCTGCGGCTTCTCCGTTCGTCTCATGATTATTGCCGATGTTATTTCGGCAAATAGACCGCGAGTTGAAACGAAGCGATTGTTGCATTGCCTCGCAGTGAGAAGGAAAGAGATTCATGGGGCGTGAAAACGTATACAGTTGGAAAATTTATGTTAAATTTAACACACTTGTCTCAAACGATCCACCTAATTTTTGTATTAATTCAACAGAAAATAAATATGTTAATAATTAACATAAGTGTTAAAAAATTTATGCAAAAATGTAACAGTGTTATAATTTGTAAGCAAATTATGGAAACATACTTCTTCAACGCAATTAACATTCGTAATATGTTAAATTAATACATTTTATTTATCTTAAAATTAAGAGCATAATAATGTTCTTGCGATATTATTATATTTATAAGTTCTATTATTTCTATTATACGTTTTGTTTTGGGAGATAAAGAATCTAAGGATTGCAACATCTTGTATTTTTATAATTTTTAGATATAGACACTTTATCGGCTAATCAAATATATTATTTTTAAGTTAATTGTGTTTACTCACTCATACATTATATCTTAGCACTAAGAATTGTCTAAGAATTGGTCTATTTTATAAAGTAAACTATCTTACAATCCTCTCCGAAAGTCGAGACATTTTCCAGATCTTGCAGAAAACTCCTTAAAGATGAATCATCGTGGCAGCTGTGCCGTTGCTAATGTACGCCTATTTATAGGATAAGTGACGACGTTCTCGGAAAAAGTGTTCCATTCACCATATCGGTAAGCAAACGTGAAATCAGGGCTCTCTCTCCTTCCATCGTGTCTTCGCTATGTGTCGTGATTTTAATCGACTGACCAACAAACACGCGTGCAACGCAGACGGAGATTTTCCACGGCATCCCAACTTGAGATCGCATCGCTATTCCACCCCGTGGTCGTCCCGCGTGGTCCGCGAGAGAAGACGTTGAATTATTTATAATAACGCCGGTAGGAACAACCGACGGCATTAATGCGCGAAACGGATTCCCTGTTTCTTGCTCCGGGTGCGTTGACCACGCACGTAACGCTAGGACGTCTCGGGAAGTCTTGCTCCGCGTGTTATTTACGGCAGAATGCAAATTCAGCGCGTAATTTATCCTTGTCGTGAGAGAACGTTTCCCTTATCTTCAGTCCGAGTAACTTTAAGTGGCGCAGCATACAATGGATGTTGCGCCTGTAAATAAAAGTGGAATAATTGATAAAACGGGAATTGAAAATTAAACGGCACGAAATGCATAAGCGAATGCTTCTTGAGTGTAAATCTTTTTCTCTCGTATTACGATACGTGTAATTCCAAAGTAATGTATGAAAGTAGCCTTTGACTAGGCAACCCGTTCAGCATCATTGCACGTCAAGAGATTGACATTTAACACGCAAAGCGAGAATGTCATTGAAAGGTTTTGTTTTTTATTGTTGCACTAAATTAGAATTAGAACATTCGTTCTTGCTTTAAACAAACTTCGAACACACATCTATATTTTATTTAAATTAAATACAAACAGTGTATACTATAGTTAAGCTATAAAAAACGGATCGCTCAGCATTGTCAAAAAGAGAGGTGAGAGAAAGAAACTTACACGTGGGTTTGAATGTATTGTTGCGTTTATTTCGTACTGTATTATTAAAATTAATACAATGACAGAAGTATTTACAGGAGGTTTTTAGCAGCTACATACGCGATCGCAATCTTCGCGATTAATTATTATTAATTGTGTAGTAATATAATAGCATAATATAATAATAATTCTATAGAATATAATATAATAATAATAATATAATAATATAATAATAATAATAATAATAATAATAATAAAGAATATATCAGGCAGCGCGGCGCGTCCGAGTCGCACGGAAGGCAAGAGCCGACACTTTTTACCACGGATTTTAATTAACGCGAAAAAATGAAGCGAAAATTGATTAATTCTGATTAATGATATCACAAAGAAAAAAATAAATAACTGCGAATTCACCGCGACAGAAGCTAAGTCGACCCTTCCCGGGTCGCGCCACCCTCGCCCGTCGTAGCAAAATTATATTTTACACATTTTTATTCCGCTCTTTGATTCTCGGAGACGCATTCTGAACCACATTTATGTATCTCGAGAGAAAATGCGTTAAAATTGTGCGTGTACGCGGCCTGTTCGTCTGCGCTTCGATGCATTATGCTTTACATGTCCGATGTTCGCTGTTAACGAACATCCGGTGGTATCAATAGATCAGACCACCAGACCACCATAGTCGGAGAGGTTGAAAACAATCGCCTGGATCCACGAGATCAAAAGTGTTTCTCGCGATTCCGATTCGATTTAATTCCACGCGCGATGATTGAAGTAGCCGTCGAAGGGAAGACTTAAACATCACGAGATTTTCGCTTCATGAGTTATTCCAAGGGTGTTACTTTCACATCTCTGATGAACTAAGATTCGGCGAAAAATTTATATTTTCATAGTCTAAACGGTACAAGTCCTCGAAATAGTCAACGTATCAAAAGTGTGTTCTTTAACTTCGAAGAGAACCACCAAAAACCGTATTACATCGATTCTGTTTGCAATACAGAAAGAAATTCGGGAATATTGCTAAAAATTTCGTTGCGTTAAAAAACATCAGTTATATATTTAACTGGCAAGTGCCAGGACTTCGAATATCCCGTGGATTTGTGTACAAAGAGATGGTACAAATTTACGGTTGGACGAGCCTCTCGTGCTGCTCGAAGCCGAGGCTTGCCAACCAAGTCCGTCATTTTTGCAGCGTTCTCTCGTCCGCTCTTCTTTCTCGTCTCGCTCGGCGAAGACACAGGTCGCTCGTTAGCGTCTCGCCAACGAGCGTGTGTCTGCGGCGAAATGAACGAAAATTAGAAGCGCGAAAAAAGGGGGAGCGAGCGTGAGAAAGAGGACGGAACGTGTTTATGACTAGCATTCGTTGCGCTACGCGAGCGAGTGAGCGAGCGACTCACGCGTTTCAATTTGTGCCGCAATGATGAATTCTGTGGATAAATAAGTTTGTATGTACAATTATGATTTGCGCGTCCACGAGAGTCCAGAAAGCAGACGAGGTCGATCGTCTTGATTCTCTTTTTCTTTGTCTATTCGCGCGTGACGAACAATGAACAATTTTAAAGTAACGAAAGAAAAGGAAGATTCATAAAGTATATTAATAGCATGATTGAAAAAATATTTAACAATAGGGAAAATGTATATATACATGATATATACCGCTCATAGAAAAATGGTCCCTTCTTTGTAACGTGTAATGAGAGCCGAGAGTTTTCGAGTTCACTGACATCTGAAGAGCTCGATCCTGAATTGTTAATTTCCTCCATCGAGGCCGTATTCTCGAGTTAACCAGAATTAGAGACGCCTAGAAGGCTTGTCTAGGCTTTCAATTTTGATTTCTCGCGAAGCTGCGCGCTATTAAGGCACTCTTCACACTTCAGACGTACGATCTCTCCCTGCTGTGCATCATTGTCTCGTGACTCGAAAAGCCTTGTCGCGTGTATCGGACGAGTAAACATAGGCACTGACGACATGCATTATATTAGCGCACACGCATCGTGATTTTCTTTAAAGAAGGCACCGAAATGTATTTATTTGGATTGTCGTTGGTCGTTGTTAAATTCAACAACCGATTGATATGGCCATTCGTTTCGACGGAATCGCGTGCGATGCACCGAGATACAATATTGTAGGCGATTACAGAATTTTTCCCGTGATCAACTTACTCGGCCGCTCGAATTACCAACATTTTTAAAACTAACACAACTTTTATTGATCTATTATTGATAAGAGAGTGTCTGTTTCTAAAAATCATATTTCAAAAGTAGGCCTCTCGGAATTACAATGATGTTACGGATAAATGTGTAACACGCCGCGTCTCGGTGCATGCGCACGCGGTACAGTTCGAGTTTTCTTTAGCTCAAAAGGACGGTTGATCAGTCTATCGATAACGGCAGTCTAGGAAGAGCCAACTTCGCCTCGAACTTCGCTCTAGTTCTTGATTTCGAACGCCTTCTCTTTTCCTTCTCTTTTACGCCTCGTCGGGCAGTGACGGCGAAATCCGTCAGGATTGACGAAAAATCGCCATGGAGTCTCGATGGATTGACTATCTCTCGTATATATGGCGGAATGCGTTCCACTCATAGCTAGAATCTAACGCTGGATGTCGTGATGACTCCGTACGATCTTTCCTTCGGATCTCCGCCGTCGTCACCTCGGTGCGAGACTATCTTATGTCAGCATCGCAACTGCAACCGCGAGCACCTTTTCGCAAGCCACGCACACTCGCGATTTGTTTTATCGCTTAGTACATTCTTTAATTACTCGAATATGTACATCAAGACCACCCTCTTCGAAGCCGATCGCTTCCGTGAAGAGTCATTGCATACATGCACGCACGCACGCATACATTCCTAGACGCATTCACATGCTCTCTTACAGTATTTACAACAGCCGTTTGTTCGCTTTGATATGATACAAGCTACGATCTCTCGTCGGCACCTTCGCAAAGGCACGCGTATGTAGAAAGGCATTGTACACGTAGGATTCCGCGTGCGACATGCATCACACGCCGCTACGTCGTACGATCCGCGTAACCGTGCGCACACTTTTTACAATCGGTCTCGGGTTCCCGAGAAGACCAGCGAAAGTTAGGACAGGAGCTGTTCGAGAGGCTGTTCAAGGATTCTGGAGATCAGGCTTGGTGTGATACGCGTAACTTTTTGTTCTCGCTACGAAATACTGCTTAATAATATACATATCGCGATTGAGTTACAGGATGCCGCATTGCAAAATCTTTTGTCCGTATTAACGACACGTCGCCTTTACCGAATTTCGGCAAAAATAATATAAGAACACACCGCATTTCTCATGCTATCATTTCACGTTCCCCTGACGCTATCACAGCATTATGTACTTCACGAAAAATAAATTCAGAAGTAATCCCTTTCTTTTACATACAACTGTCGCATGACGTCGATGTTGCTCTTTATCATTCTAGAATCAAAAGATTCGCGAATTTGAATATATTTTTCACAAAGCTCATAGTCCTTATAGAAAGACGCGCAATCCTGAACCTTCCTAAGAACCTTCTCTGACGTCACAGCCTTCGCAAATCTCGAGGAACTTCGCCCGTCTCGTCCCACCTTATCCTTCGTTCGTACATCTCTCGGGCACGCCTCGTTACTCAAAACCTCCCTTCAATACTCTTCGCGTCACTGTACACACGATATATTACGCGATATGTACAACTTTCGATCTTCCGATCCCTCGGCAATTCCTCGAGGAGACTGCCAGAGATGCCCGTCCACCTGTGCACGAATATAATTCAACGCCGACACCTGTCGACGCACAGCTGGACGGTACAATTTTACGAGGCCTCGTGCACCTGGAACCGCCGAATCCGCGCTTGCACTGACTCGCATTGTACCTCGCTGTACCTGGTGTATCTGCCAGCACGTACGGGTTCCCTAATAACTACCAAGTTGCCGCCTCGTTCGCGGAGCGCCTCAAGACCGGCTTTGTTGCCACTGCCACCACGCAACGCCGTCACCGTCGGTGGCGTCGTCGTTGGGATTTTCGCGATCTTCACACCAGACGAGGTTTCGGACGTGAAACGGCTGAGCGCCTTGCTGACGACGCCGCTGCATTCGCGTGGCCATACTCTGGTGGCACGGTGATGATGATGATGCCTCTGTTCCCATCTGTCGGCGGTCGCGTCGGAGGCAGTGAACGGGTAACTCGCTCTACCTTGACTCTTACCATATAGAATAAAATCGAGAGAGTCGTCCGAATAGATGCTACTGCGATCGCTCGAGCTGTCGGTCGAGATCTCGGACACGGTATCGCTACCGCTATCACTGCACTGTTGCTCGATCTCGCCGAGGATAAATACGGGCGTGCACTTGAACACTTCGCCGCCGCCAGCTGGCATCGTGTGGGTAGCAGTGGCGCGACGTTGCTGAATACTACCGCTGGCATTTGACGATGATGACTCGATGATGACGATTTCCGGCAGAACACTGCCGGAGAACTTTCGCGCCAGTGAGTCCATATTTCTCTTGAAAGTATCCCTACGGTCCGGACTCAGCCCGAATCTGATGGGCTTGGGCAACGATCTCGAAGCCGAGTAGAGGTTCTCCGTATGCGAGGATACGGCGCGAGCGCTAGCTGCTGGTTTGGAAATTTCCGCACTATGGCATAGACCGGTCGTGGAGGACCGTTGCTGCTTCTCGCCGTCGTTCTTCGGCGTAGACGAAACCTGACCTTGGTTGGCGATCGGCAGCTCCGACGAGGCGCTGTCTTCTTTCGGGGGTATCGTCGACGAGTCGAGAACAGCAGCAGGACTGTCGTCCGACGAGGGGCACGTCGTCAAGGGCGCCAACGGCTGCTCGAACATGTTGAACCAGGGATGCTGGAGACATTCGGTCACCGTCAAACGTTCACTGTGAACAAGAAAAGAGTCGCTTGCTTGAAGAAAATCGTTTCCAATATTCTCGTGAATTTTTCAAGATTGTTTTAGAATTAACCTTACGATACCATTCTCATTATGGCATATATAGTTTTCTTTCACTTCAATTACAACTTTGATATAATAACGAGAATGTATGTGAATATATGTATGTTGTATGCTGATTGTCAACGTTTTATATTATCATCGGGGAAAAAATAATCAAAGAAAGAATATTTTCAGAGAAAAAGACTGAATTTAAATTTAAAAATAAAATTAAAAAAATTTTTTCGAGTACCGATAAAAAATCTCCTGAAAATTCCATATTTATTTAGGAATTAAATACTCTGTTAATATATTTATTTTTACGCGATAATTTTGCGGAAACGCAGTGCGTTGACAAACCGTTCAAAGGCATCGAAGGGTTAAGCTTTCAATTCGATGTCGTATTTCTAAAGATTTCCCGTTAGAACGCTGAAGATAAGAGACTTGACGCGATTATATTGGTTACTTTAGTACACGCGGTGCTCTTGAACAAATATATCCTAACAACAAGCTCGTTCCGCGAACAACTATGTTCTCGTCGTCCTCGTTAACTCGAGGAGCGACAGAGTCAAAGGGTTAAGAGACCCGTCGCATAAACGACCTCCGCTAGGCGGATCGGAGCATTTATCGACGGTGGCCATCATCGTGGCGGTCCCGCCGGGACGTTTTCACGTGGCTGTTTCATGCTGCGTGTATGCCATCCGCGTATCGCACGGTCTGCGCAAAAACCATTATGTTAGCTGACGTATCGGCCGACTTCCGGCATGCAGAACGACGCAGGATATCTTCAATAATGGAGCAAAGAATTGCGTAACACGTAAACGCCGTGGAATGCCGCTCCATGTAACAGATACTAAAGTACTTTAGGAGGTGACCCCCCTTAATTCTGAGACCATAAAAAAGTCCCGAACAAAAAATATTCATATAAAGGAGTTATTAACTCCTCCATGTTATTCGCGCATTTATATTATCGCACATTCCAATCGCGCATAAAAACAAACAACAAAATATTAGACGAAATTTTTCATTGAATAGATTAATTAATTTAAAAAAATGGCAAAATACGTAAGTTATTGATGAAGTTTACGTAACGATTAAATCGTGATTACAGCGAGTAGATTTATACAACTAAAAAATTTGTGTTTTATTTAATACATTTAATATATCTCAAACGACTCACCCAAATTTTTATTAATATTGATTTATAATAATACGAGATGAATATATTAGAATGTGATACAAACATTATATAAAAATCGATATAAAAAATTTAACACTTTGACATAATTTGGAAATAGATTGTAAAAGTTCATTTCTTCAGTAAAATTAATATTTATATATCAAATTAACACGTAGCTTAATTTTTTGTCTTAGAATTTATGTTATAAAATTACATGATTTTTCTGATATTTATTTTGTTATTCATAAATGATTTTAACATTAAGAAATGTGAAACATCAACTTCACGTTATAATATTAAATTAACACTCCGATAAATTCAACACAAAAATTTCAACAAGAACCGGACACAGGTTTTTATTGTGTACAGATCACGTTTGTTAATCATTAACGTAATAACGTTAATTAATTCCGCGATCGTTTGCATAGTTTAAACGCGTAAAATGCACGAGCATGATTAAGATACATTAATTTTAACGCATTGCAAATGACATGACGCATAAACAAACATAAATTCAACTGCAAAGTTTTCTTTCAGCGATGCGTGTTCGCAGTCTCCTCGAGACGAAATATGCTAATTTGCAGATCAGCGATGAAGACTGCTATTCAACTTCGTAGGACATGACGATAAGTCATGCGGGTTCTGCGCGATAAGACCCCCTATGTTTGCCGGAGAGGAAAAGGACGCGAATAATTCCGGATAGCAACTTCCTCTCAGCTGTCCGCGCGATAAGGAAACCTACGAGGTCTCTTAGTCTTTCTTTTTTACAGCGGAACTCGCCTTCCTCGACGTCGCTCTTCCCGCTTCGAAGAAAGTCCACCTCACGAAGCGACGTGGCGCCGATCGTTTTTCTCCCGCTCATGTTACTCGCGACCGACGATGAGCTCGATAATTGACCGATGATAGTTTTTATTCCTGAATAAACGAGCTAATAAATGCATCTCAATGGAATCACAATGTCGCCATTGTGCACGGCTAATACGTGAATTATTAAAAGAAAACAGCGAGATGGACCTTCACGATTCGAAGAAGACATCGCACGATTAAAACCGGGAATTGACGTACAGAATTTAATCCGAAACGCATTAATTTGCGCGTACATCCGTTTGATTTATTAAATGTACGCTCGCGATTTTTATTCGCTTTCATATTACGTCTCGTATAATTGAATGAAAGACGAAACCATTGCAATAACACGATGAAAGTTAAACCCGAGGCTACGGGATGTGTCTCGCTCCTAGAAATCCATACGATAAAAGATGAGGCTAAGAATCTAACGTTCATTTCTATCAATATAAATTATAACTTTAATCTCGGTTTTTAATTTACTTTTTATTTTTATCTAACAATAGGCACTAGAGAAAGATAAAAAAGAGTGAATTAAATCGAGATTAAAATTAATCTATAATATATTGATACTGTCTCAGAAAGAATTTCTAATATCGAAACAAAAAATATTCTCTTGAAGTACTTAATATCTTATTGCTGCACAATCTTACGTAATATAAAAATAAAATAATATTAAAATTAAATGAAAATTTTCTCCTTCGAATTAAACAAGATCGATTTACTGTAATAGAAACAAGAGTGACACGTATATATAAACTTAAGTTTATTATATGTTTTTACGCGTTTATAGAATAAATCTTTTTTTAACCTGCAGATCTGTATCATTCATTCTAAAATAGAACATTTTTGATTTAAAAGTAAGATATTCCTTTTTCAATAGTAAATATGTAATGATTTTAGAATCGATATTATTTGATAGATCCAAAAATAACAACACTTAATTGATACGTAAATCTTGTTAATTAAATAGAATAAAATTAATAGAAATAAAAGGCGACAAACAGGAAACGCGTCTTCGGGTAGGGAATTACGCAAAGCAAGAGTTGCGAATTTCTCGCAAGCGAATGGTTTTCCCCCGAATGCAACTATCAATGGACAGCGTTGACCCACTGATACCGAATCGCTCCTAACGGCGGTAACGATCCCCGATGAATCGTTACCGTCGCGCGATGTCATCATCTCGGTTACAGCACGGAATGTCGCGCCGCGCCGCGCCGCGCCGCCTGCGCAACGATACGTCTACGTGACACGATTGTTTTCGTTCTAGGAAATCGGCCGACATACCGACATAACTAACAATGTAATCGACGCGCCGCGTTTCACGGGCTATCTTCTTTCGCTTCGAAGCAAGCGCCGGGCATTCTCGGTAGATCGCCGCAGTCTTCCGCGAAAGAATTGTTTTCACCGGTCCAGGAATGCTCGCGCCGGTTCTTCGGTAACGGGCGCTCGCCGACACCCGCCTCGGCGAACCGGATAGGCAACTAATGTCGATCGACCGAGCGATACCGAGTGCGGGAATTATGATGTGGGTGCGTAACGTACAATATATAAATTACGGCGACGACGTCTCGATCACAGCGGGACAACGAATGGAAATCTTTCCGTCGAATCAAGTGGAGTATATGAAGATAAATGGCGAGTAGCTCGCCATGATGATCAATGAATCTCGCTGTGAATTTGCGTCGCCGCGCGGACGTTACGAGCATATTTCACGGCCTGTGTTCTAATCGCATCCGAGAATTAAATTCCTCGAGTCTATCTTTTCTTGTTTACTTCGACTTCCGCATTCATGTAGATGGAAAGAACGGTGTTGCTCGAGTATTAAAAAATTTAACTAGATATATAGATTTGAAAATAATTGTGTTAGGTCATCAAAATAATCGAGTAGAACGCTTAAGCATTAATGATAATGCAAAAAGTGTTTTATAACATTCGAGCAACCAGTTTGAGTTGCGTGCCACATCATTATTCCGATAGTTGAACAAAATTATTTTCAGATATGTATCTAGCTGAATTTTTAGACACTTCAGCAAAACCGTTCTTTCTGGATATCAATGCGGAAGTCAAAGTAAACGAGAAAAGACAGGTTCGAGGAATTTAATTCTCATTTTTAGATCTGTATCTATAGATAAAGTTTTATATACTTCAGCAAAACCGTTCTTTCCGCGTATCAATGCGGAAGTTGAAGTAAACGAGAAAAGACAGATTCGAGGAATTCAATTATTTTTGAATCCGTATATATCTAGTTAAACTTTGCAGCAAACCCGTTATATACGTGTACATGAAAATTACATATTATAATGAAGTGTTTCAATTTCACATTAAAATAACACAATTAGGTTAATATCCATATAGTAACAATTATGATTAGAGCTGAGAAATTTCTTTATTACTTACTTCGGATCCTTGACCATAAGTTTGCGCATAAGATCGCGCGCTTCTTCGGAGACGTCCTCGAAGAGATCGTCCGGGAAGTCCAGGCGACATCGGCTGATGTTGCAGAACGTCTCCTGCTTGGTGTCTCCTCCGAACGGCGAGCATCCCGTTAGCAGCACGTAGAGCAGCACGCCAACGGACCACATGTCGGTCGCCAGGCTGATCGGCTCGTAATTCAGAACCTCCGGGGCTGAGACACACACGGCAGATGAGCCGTTATTATAACGTGGCGAGATTCCGTGGTACATCGAACCCTAATGCTCGCGAGATATGTGTGTGTGTGCTCGCGCGCGCGCGCGCGCGCGTAAATCTCGGTAATTAAATTCGAAAAAAAAAGGAGATAACGCCTCTTCTTTCCCCCGGCTTTTCTGCCATTACGTCGTCGCGACCGCTTGCTTAATGGAGCCACGCGTGTTCCTCAACGGGATAATAATAATTGTAACTACGGATGTATTAGGCCCCGAGCGCGAACTAGGTAATCACCGACGATGCGGAAACGCGGTTGGCTCGTTCATCGCGTAACAGTCGCGCGCTCGGATCGGCCACTTTGTATCGGCTTTGTTCCGACCGAATCACGCTACAGTTTTTCCACGCCCTCGGCATTATCCGTCCAACTTAATCGCTATAAAGATCCACGAGCTGTTTTTTTTATCGTGCGAACGGTTTCACTAATTCCTGCGAATGATCTCAGAGCTGATGCTAATTAACCGATTAAATCTCACCGGCGAGGAAATAACGATCGGTTCAATTAAAGCTGATCTCATTTTTTTTTTTTTATTCGATATGCACTGAAAGAAACGTTTTTGGTATTTGCGATTATAATTACGTGGTAACATAATTATTGTTAAGAGCTCCATTTTTACGGTTATTGTTGCTATAATGTTAGTACAGGAAGGATGAGAATTACAGAATACTATTTGTTTTAGCGATGTAATTATAGTCACAGTTGTCAGAAACTTTTCCATCAGTGTACGATTTTAAAATTACTCTTTAAATCTTCGTGAAGCAATAATTCCTATTTTTTTTTTTCAGGACAATTTTATTTTGTAAATGTCGAAGAACAGACTCTTCGATCTTCTCCGTGAGAGAATATTATCTTGTCTTGATATTGCTTAACACTTTCGTCCACTTAGGACATGACTGTTAGATAGTGCAATGTAATCGATTACGAGGATCGTAAAAGGATCCTAATGGCCAATCGAGTGTACAAAACTGACCACGTGCGGTTTTCTAACTTAATACAATTAAGCGCGGAGTAACTTGTTCTGTCCAATTATGCAACATGCCTGTTTCCCTAATGGAACTACACAACACGGCGATTTCTTAGCATCAAACAGATCACAAACGTGGAATGCACGAAGGTGCGACCCCGTCGCACTTCGAGGCCGGAAACCACCGACACGCACACATTCTCCGTCTGTATAAGGCGTCGCGTCGAAACGGATTCGCTTTATCAGGGTTGTGGTCTGTTATCCTCAGTGACACGCACAGCTCCAAAAAGCTAGAGAAACGCGCAGGTGTCGAACGATTCTTGTGCGAACTCCCGAGTATTTATCACTGGTGCGAGAATCTCACCGTCCGCGCGTTTTACGGTTTTTCACGAGCGACATATTTGACATTTATTACTCAAGTAGAACAAAATAAAATTGCGTTTGTGAAAGACGTATAGGGTAAAGAAAAGTAAAGATACTCAAGTAAAAGATTGGCCACCATTTAGACAATTTTTAATTTATCATATCCAGGAGTCTTAAAGATAGAATAAGATATAAAATGGAGAATAAGAAGCATGGATATCTCACATTCTATTTTTTATAACGGACTAGTCAATTTTTTATATGAGGATTTCTAGAATAAAGTACTCACCGACATAATCAGGCGTGCCCAAAATTTCTCGAATGTCCGCTCCGTGACTGATGTACCGCGATATGCCAAAGTCGCATAGCTTCACGTCGCAATCCGGAAATTCTCCAGTAAGTACCAAATTCTGTGGCTGAAACATCAAAAAAGGCAAGAGATAAAGAGCGATTCGACGTTATTGACGGAAAAAAGGCTGTTATTAAAATAAGATTGCCGCAGGCAGAGTAGATCGTGACTGTTTTAGCCATACGTTTATATATATATATATATATCATGCGTTTGTAATTTCTCAAAATTTGCTTAAAGGCGGTCCAAGGTGTAGCCTTGTAAAACGCGAGCGAAAAGAAAAAGGAGCGAGCAGGTTTTATCTCGCGGTAATGTCCGCGCGACAATGCCAATTTCCTGCCGCGAGATAATATGGAGAAAGTAAAGCTTCCTTTCAGGACGGTCGCATGATGATTGCTCTCTGGTATATTCTCTCTCCGTTGGCCGTTAATACGGACAAAGCAGCCCCAGGTGTTTTCGTGGTCTCGGTCAATTATCAGAAGCACGCAAGCGGATCGAGACACTTTTTCTACATCGTACAACATCTCAGGAATTTCGGCGCCACCGTGTAAATATAGCAGTGAATTACACGACTTATAATTATGGGTATAATTATAAGCCATGTAACCACCTTTAAGGAGTAGAGAAATACGTTCATGCGATATCGTTAGTTCACGACTTGCGGTTTAATTGTAGCCGGCGCGGCCTCGAGCCGATCTCACATCTCGGCGGAATTTTAATACACGTCCTAATTATCGAAAGACCGTCCGATACACCGCCACTTGGAATAAGAGTTCTGAAAAATAATAACTTCCGCGTCGACTACGCGCGATGAGATTTTTGCCGGGACGCTGGTGAATGATTAATCATCAGAAAGGGCGAGGCGGAGAAAGGAAAAGACGGAACATACGTAACGCACCAGGCATGCTTTTTTTTGACGATCAGGTGGAAGAAAGACAACGAACGTCCACATTACAACAATAACATGAGTCCAGGTAGGCGTCTCGCGCGAAGTATAATGCCTGGACGTAAACGATTCCGCGATAAGAAAGGTCGTCGCCGTGGCTTAGGTACAACTCTCGTTATCCACATGACATCGGTTCTTCCTCTCACATTTCGCACCAACTCTTTTCTCGAAAAATAACCGAACAATGCGGCTATGTGAAGTTGGCCCCCCCACTATTGCAAATCTAAAAATGACCATGACCATTCGTTTGGTGGTCGTTTGGTGGTGTTTGGTAGTCCATTCCGGACGTTTGGTAGTCAAAGATATAATGAGAAATGTCAAAAAAAGAAGAACGCGCGTGAAGTTAGCCCCCCCATTTTTAAAACTCGGCTTTGCAGAATGCAAATGCAATAATGGCTATAAGCATTCGTTTGGTGGTCGCTTACTGACGTTTGGTAGTCCATTCAGGACGTTTGGTAGTCAAAGATATAATGAGAAATGTCAAAAAAAGAAGAACGCGCGTGAAGTTAGCCCCCCCATTTCTAAAACTCGGCTTTGCAGACTGCAAATGCAATAATGACCGTAAGCATTCGTTTGCCGTAAGCCGAGTTTTAGAAATGGGGGGGGCTAACTTCACACGCATATATCCTTTTTTTTTATATTTCCTGCTATAATTTCGACTACCAATCGTCGGGAATGGACTACCAAACGTCAGTAAGCGACCACCAAACAAATGCTTACAGCCATTATTCCATTTGCAGTCTGCAAAGCCGAGTTTTAGATATGGGGGGGGCTAACTTCACGCGCGTATATCATTTTGTTAATATTTCCGATTATAATTTCGACTACCAATCGTCGGGAATGGACTACCAAACGTCAGTAAGCGACCACCAAACGAATGCTTACGGTCATTATTGCATTTGCAGTCTGCAAAGCCGAGTTTTAGATATGGGGGGGCTAACTTCACGCGCGTTCTTCTTTTTTTGACATTTTTCAATATATCTTTGACTACCAAACGTCCGTAATGGACTACCAAACATCACCAAACGACCACCAAACGAATGGTAATGGTCATTTTTAGATTTGCAATAGTGGGGGGGCCAACTTCACATAGCCGAACAATGCCGAAACTGCTGCGAATAGAGGCCCGGAATCGTACGAGAAAAACGAAAAACGAGAGGAAGCTCGTTGCCGATTCATCGTCAATGCTCCATGGTTGGTTTAGATTGTTCGAGAATTATATCTTCAGTATTAGGTCGCGGTTCCTGAAGAAAGTTATTATCGGTGCGCTTTATTAAGGTAAATATACGGTAGTAAAATCACTTGCACTGAAAAAATGTAACAATGGCATTATTTTAATTGAAAGTAATGTTGATTTAACAACGACATTAATGAAACGAATAAACTTTTATTAAAACAAGATTTCATTAATAGTGTTACTAAATTAACAAAGTTATTTTTAATTAAAATCGTGCCGATATTACACCATTTTTTTAGTGCGATCACGTTTTATCACGTCACTTGCTCCTTTCGATACGCGCGAAAGAAAGGAAGCCGTTGGGGACAGAAAATAGCCGACTACAACTCCGTTTCACTCGAATGTTTATGCGCAGATGTTTGCCATGCAGCTCGCGAAGGGCCTAATGAAAGAGTGCGAGACACAATTACGCTCATGGGAGTGATGAAAGTTGTCGGCCCTACTAGTCACAGAAAAAAGGAGTTAAAAAGTTACCTCGATTAGGGTGAGACGGTCGTGAGGATAAATGTAGGCCTATTCAACTTTCGTTTATTATCGTATTGTTAATATTGTGCGATTTGTATCAACAGCACGCAACTTGAAAAACTGGAAATATCGAAACACGGTATTTCTGTAAGATAAGTATATAATAAGTACAATAAATATTATTATAAGCCGACAACCATCGATCCGTGAATAACCAATTTTAAGTAAAAGATTACTTTTGTTTTTATGCTTTTATACGTTTCACGAATCGACAAACAGGATAATGATTATCAAAAGTATAAGTATATTATTACGATTTACAACCAGCGTAAATCTGTGAATAATTTATTTTAAGTAAAACGCCACTTTATGTTCTTACATATCTTGCGACTTGACAAGCGAGATGATAATTATCGAAAGCTCATAACTGATATTAATATAATTTTTTTATAATATAAATTGCCACATTACAGGAAAGCAATGATACGTTGAATATAACACGGATTATAATAAATATTATCATTCCGCAGTGATTGAATTCGAAAAAAAGCTCGCTCCGGATAATCGAAAGATTCAAACTGGCTGGGGTATATTTTTTGTAATAAGTTTTGTTGTATTTAATATTTAAAAATGCGCTTATTAACATCATTATTAAATCGACGATCATTTTAATTTGTGACATCTGTTATTACTTCAGCTTCAGTTTATGATTGCGTTACAAGTCCAATAGTAAGCGGCGCGCAGTTACATATCTGAAAAATGTATTTAAAATTTTCAAATCAACAATTACATATCACTATATGTACAATTAAAATTTCCATAGTATAGTATTACACCAAGATCTAGCCTCGATCATACTGATCCTTATTTGATTTATAAACGTCCATTAAGAATTGCGGTTAATAAAGATTGAAGACTTAACGACAAATTCAAATAAGATCATTATCCTTATCGCGGGTGATGTAGAATTCGCGTGATCGATGATACTATTTTTGTTGAATCGAACGCAAGAAATTGCAATTCATGCCCAGCCTCTCATGACTTATTCCTTCTCTCTGACGCCAAGTCGATAAATTTAAATAAAGTCCACGATGCAGAATTTTTGACACACGTGACAGCGCAGAGACTTGCCGGAATCGAAGTCGGAGAACATCGTGCTGGTGCACGATGCATACGAGATGCGATCGAGGACAATTTTCATGGTAATCGATCGACTCGCCCACGTCCAATCACAACGCCGAGAACCGACGTCGACGCTCGAGAAACCCGGCTGCAAACTTTGCGCGTAATAGTTAATTATGGAAATGTCTTTGTTCCTTATTAGAGACACTTCCTGAACTCGAAGCCTGAGCTCGAGATTGATTCCTACGCAACCTGCATGCATACATCGAAAGGAGAACGCGACGGAGCCATGAATGACTCTTATTTTCCGGTTTCCAGAGAAATTATTAGTCGTGTCGATTATCCGGAAGCCAGACGGCGAAATCTCGTAACAGCGTAGTGAGAATTTGCTATAACCAACTTACTATACCACTAATCTTACGAGTAAATGGCATATTAATAAAAATATACACGGAAAGTACGGTTTGGCTGAAGTATCTAATTTAGCTAGACACAAATTTGAAAATAATATTATTTAACCATCAAAATAATTATATAGGATGCTCAAACTAGTTGCTAGAGTGTTCAAACATTTTGCAGTAGTGCGTCATCAACGTTTTAACCGTTCAACATAATTATTTTAATAATTCAACAAAATTATAATATTTCAGACCTGTATCTATTATAGCTGAATTTTTTTAGATACTTTATCAGCAAAACTTAGATTTATTGTTTCCGTATAGAGATCAACGGATATTTTATTAATTTTAACATTCTCAGATACAAATCTTAATTAAGCATTCCCTCTTTGAAAGTATAAAGGATGCAGTAAGTGGAATAAGAATAAGCGCATAAATTGTAAAAACGACGGGACGCACAAAAATTGAGAAATTAGGACGATGGCGTTTTTTCAGCCAAAGATAACGTCGTTCGAGTTGAAATTTCGAAACAAAGGCAAAACCTGACACAAAGAAAACCAACCTGCAATCTCATGGCGTTACAGAGCCGTTTTTGAATCGCATTATTCGTCGTACGTCAAGTAGCGCATGATGAATCCCGGTCACGTTCGACTCGTAACTTGATTTAACGAAACGTAACACACAAACTGAATCCTCGAGCGTGTCGAGTGCCTTTGTTCCATCCACATCCTTTTACAAACGCGAGACGCTCGCTGTCCGGTAAATCTTCACTCCAAATTTTGCTGCGCGTACCAAATTTAAACCCAACTTTAATTGTCGATCTTCAATTATTCATCTCGTTACGTGCGAAAGCGTGTTACATGAACACGCAAATGAATCGGTCGTCAATGTCGTCATTT